AAATGAAGTAGTTGCGACATATACGAAGGATGAAACGGGGATGGATCTCGTGATCCGGCTTCCAGTTTCTTACCCACTCAGGCCTGTTGACGTTAATTGCACAAAAAGTATTGGAATAAGCGATGCGAAGCAGAGGAAGTGGTTGATGTCTATGCAAATGTTTGTTCGTAATCAGGTACTGTACTTTATGAGTCACATAGATCTTTGTTAACCTGAATGATATCCGGTTCCATCATGTAGACCATATATGATTAATCTTGTTCTCTCCATCTAAGCCCATATCAACATAGTTGACTTAATAATTGAGTAGCATGTCTTGGCTGAATGTTTTACTTTCTGTCTAATGTGTTGTTACTGAAAGCAGAACGGGGCTCTGGCGGAGGCGATAAGGATATGGAAGCGAAACTCGGACAAGGAATTTGAAGGAGTAGAGGACTGCCCGATATGTTACAGTGTGATACACACAGGGAATCACAGCCTTCCAAGGCGAGCTTGCGTGACGTGCAAGTACAAGTTTCACAAAGCATGTTTAGACAAGTGGTTCTACACGTCTCATAAGAAACTTTGCCCCTTGTGCCAATCTCCTTGCTGATTCAATAACGGAGCTAGAGGATATGCATGTTGTGACATTAGTAGTCTGTGAGTTTTGCTTTAACCCTAACAACATTCTTCTTAGTTTTTACTTTCCAAGCAATGAAAAGGGTTTACGGAACGTAGGTGGAACTTATTTGATATACATATATACATGATATGTGAGAGTTTTGTTTGTCCTAATGATTCAATTCAATATATGTGGAAGATAATGAAAAAGTAAAAAATAGAGAAAATTTACGTGTCTCTGTGTCATGCCTTGGCTCAATCGTTGTTGTGGCTTTGGGTGCACGCATGGATTGTCTCGTCACTCAACTCACCCTATTGCTCAAGTTACTTAGGCTAACTTAATCTGGGTCAACATTAGTTAAATATTCACTTGTAAAGCCTAACACTCACACTATGACGCGGCTGATTAATCAGTAATAAACTAAAACTACATAAGTAAAGTAGAATAAACTAAATATTTGTGAAATTTATAAACATTTAGTGTAAACATGATAGCTGCAACATCATGTTTCTCGTTACTATACATGTGAATGTCACCTTTGAACGAATGTTTAGTGTAATAGAGGCCCAAATCCACCAGACAATCATGGAGTTCACAGTTCAATATTGATCGCATAGTTCATATGTAATTGCTCGAATTTGCAAACTTACATCAACGAACCCCTGTTTCCCAACTCACTATGTAAACTTTAGAATATAATAGTTACCCGACTTATAATACACGAGTAGACATCAATATATTATCAATACATACACAAGCTCTAAGGTGAGATCTGACAATATTAACACCTGAAGGAGAAGAAGAGTCGTTTTGAAGAGATGTTTGGATCTTCTTAAGTTCTTTGGCCACTTCCACCATCGTTGGAACTTCTTCACTAGGACCGATGCATCTCAGTGAGAGCATTCGGAAAGCTTCCATTTGACAAAGCTCTTGTTCTGAAATTTGACCCATCTTTTCTATCATCTTTGGATCTGCAATCTCTTCGATTCGTCGGTCTTCCATTAATCTTGACCCATTAATCAAAATGCTTTTGTTTCCTAATAGAAGCGTTTGACGCATAAACATTCCAAAGGCACAGACATCTGTTTTCTCTGAGACTATGCTCTTGTAATCATCGTCCAATAACGTAGAGAATCTCACTGGTTCGTCAACCTGGACAAATGTTTCTCCTTCTGGGATTGAGACGCAGAGAGAGAAATCAGTCAGCTTCGCAACCCCATCTTCATCCAATAAGATATTCCAAGGATGAATATTCCTATATACGAAGGACCTAGGGAACGCAGTGTGAAGATAAGCTAAAGCAGTAGCGATATCTTCTGCTATCTTCATTCTCCTTTTCCACGGCTGTTTACTAATATCTAGTTTGTAATGTTTCTTTACACCATTATAAACCATGACTGGCTTTTCCAACTCAAGACAACATCCAACCAATTTCAAAAAGTTGTTGTGACCACTCACCATCGATGAAACTGCTATGTCCCGGCACAAAAGATCTACTCTCAAGCTATACAAGCCAACATCTTTCTTGATGAGTATCATGGGATGGTTCTCGTTCTTACCTGAATACCAATCGGAGGAAACACGATTAGAGTCGCTGAAATTGTTGGTGGCTTTGAGGATCTCATCAGCAGAGAAGAATTTGATGGGATTGGATTGGCCATGGCCGAATTCTATGAGATCTTCTAACAACTTGGCTCCTCTCTCCAATATTAGCTTCTTATTCCTCTTCCTCCACCACCAACCCATCTCTAAACAAAAAAAAAAAATCTTGTTGAATATTCAATTCTGACGAAATGAGCAGAGAGGGTTCAAGAACTTGTTAGATTTTTAAGGTTCTCAATTCTTGTTGAATTTTCAACACTGACGTCCTCCCACGTAGATATTCAATTGTAAAGCCTAAGACCATCCTTATTGGGAGGTGCTTAACTTGGTTCTTAGCTCAAAAGAGATTAAAATTAAAGGTGTAATTGATGATTTTGCTAAGGAATGACTCTTAGCTAAGAGTCAAAAATTGGGCTAAGAACCAAAAAATTTACTAAGAACCAAAACTAAGCACCTCCCAATAATGTTGCTATTAACACTCTCACACTATGACGCGGCTGATTAATCAGTAATAAACTAAAACTACATAAGTAAAGTAGAATAAAGTCATACACTAATATTTGTTAAATTTATAAACTTTGGCATCAAAATTAACATTTTTCAAAGTAATTTTCCGGTTAGAAGACTTACAATTTTCTTATTTACAGTTTAGTACTCCCTCCGTTTCACAAAGAGTGTCGTTTTAAGGTTTTATTTTTGTTTCACAAAGAGTGTCGTTTTAGGTTTTCAATGCAAAATTTAATGATTTTTTATGTTTTATGACTATTAGTATTCTGCAGATTGTTTTACTATTGGGCAGATTGTGTTTAAGTATATAGGTAATGATGTTTTTGTTTAGAAAAAACAAAAAATTTAATGTTTTCTTAATCTGTGTGCAAAACTCTAAAACGACACTCTTTGTGAAACAGAGGGAGTATTAAGTAAGGAACAATCATTCAATTATGTAAATGTTATTATTTTTGACAGCAAATGTAAAATGTTATGTTCTTTCGTGAAATATGTAACGTGGGTCCAATTAAAAGGGAACAGCGTTCATTAAGTCCATTAACCCGAAAAACTTTAGTGCCCAAATAAAGAAATGGGCCTATTACTTTATAAGCCCATAATACCCTAACACCAAGTAGATGGAAGAGGGTATATAAATGGCCAATTAGGGTTTTGTTCCTTCTCTCACTTCTTCTCTCAAGTCGTTCGGAGCTGTTCTTAGGAAAACAAGACAAGTAGTTCGGATCAGAGCTACGCTTGCAAATCTCAAAACATGGTTCGTCATCCTCTCTCTCTCTCTCTGCATCTCTTTTCTAATCTTAGTGATTGTTTACATGTAGATAGTTTCCTGGGGGTTTGTGTTAAGAGTGACTTAGATAATGGTTTTGTTAGCAATTGGATTGATTCGATAACTTGTGGATATTATATGCATCACGGTGATTGTCCTTAGATCTGAGCTCCTGGATCTCAAATGTGTCGCTGCATTAGAAATGTCCTTAATAGAATTGCTCTTTTACATTTGTTTGGTCATTTTACAGGCGAGGGGTTTGAAGAAGCATTTGAAGAGGCTTAATGCGCCTAAGCATTGGATGCTTGACAAACTTGGTGGTGCATTTGTATGTCCTTTACTCTCTCTTCTTGGTTCACTTTTGATATATATTTCTCTTGGATTTGTGTTAATGAGTATGTTCATTTTTGGTTCCACACAGGCCCCAAAGCCGTCTTCTGGACCACATAAGTCGAGGGAGTGCCTTCCCCTCGTCCTTATCATCAGGAACAGGTTGAAGTATGCTCTTACCTACCGTGAAGTGATTTCTATCTTGATGCAAAGGCATATCCAAGTTGATGGGAAAGTCAGGACTGACAAGACCTACCCTGCTGGTTTCATGGATGTTGTGTCTATTCCTAAGACCAATGAGAACTTCCGCCTTCTCTATGATACCAAGGGCCGTTTCCGTCTCCACTCCATCAGGGATGAGGAAGCACAGGTTTGTTTGCTCTCCTCTTGTCATTGGTTAATTTTTGTCTTTAAGAGTGATGCTTGACATGCTGAGAATAAGTTCCTTCATATGTGTTCTAACTATATTTATTCTCTTTGTACAGTTCAAGCTTTGCAAGGTCCGATCTATTCAGTTTGGACAGAAGGGCATTCCATACCTGAACACATACGATGGTCGCACCATCCGTTACCCTGACCCGCTCATCAAGCCTAATGACACCATCAAGCTCGACCTTGAGGCCAACAAGATTGTGGAGTTCATCAAGTTTGATGTTGGCAATGTTGTGATGGTTACAGGAGGTAGAAACAGAGGGCGTGTTGGTGTGATTAAAAACCGTGAGAAGCATAAGGGAAGCTTTGAGACAATCCACATCCAAGACTCAACAGGACATGAGTTTGCAACAAGGTTGGGGAATGTGTTTACCATTGGCAAAGGTACAAAGCCCTGGGTGTCTCTTCCCAAGGGTAAAGGTATTAAGCTGACTATCATCGAGGAGGCCAGGAAGAGGCTTGCTGGTCAACAGGCTGCTTAATTTTGTGATTTCCAGTTCTCTCGTTTATGCTTCCTTAGACGTTTCATATTTCCTAGACTCACTTCGTTTCTTTTGGTACTCTGCTCAGTTTTGAAACTTCTGTTATATTATTTATTTCAAGAGTTAAAAACTTCAAACATCCATTGTGTCCTCTCTTGTTTTCTACTATCTTCAAGAGTTGATATTGGTGATCAGTTATACAATTATTCAGAATCGGTAAAATAAAGAAAAATCTTGTGTTCTAGTTCTTGAAATAAGATAATGAGGTTACTTGGCTTCTAGCCACCTGCTTCATTTGTTAAACGGGGAGACTAAGAAGTAAGAACATGTTGATAAAATATGCACTCAGGGTGAAGGGAGTACCAAGCCCCTAAACATGTCATCTTTTTCAACTGTTCTCTCTTTTTACAATGACAAAAAAAGTGATCCAGTACAATACAACATTACACAACAACACAACAAAGCTGAGCTAAACTGTCTAAAAGGATACAATACATGTTACAAATCCACCCTGCAAGACTTCGCTATTGGCCATTAGCAGGTGGTTCGTTACAAAGATGTTACAAGTGGCTATTACCGTCATTTTCTTCCTGTGGTTGTCCCTTTGAAAAGCTCGTTGATTCGCGCCTCTATGTCCTCAACTCCATACCTGATGTACCTGTCCGCGTTTTTCCCTATGTCTCCAAGGTTTTGGAACCTTCCGATGAAGCTCCCGTATGCCGGTACCAAAAGCCTGGCCAGTGAGATTTTCAGCTCCTCTCTCAGCTGCTCGTCAAACACTACCCACGTCGAATGCACTTTACATATCTCATCAAACTGGATATTGAACTGCTTCAGCTTCTCCTTCATGGTTTTCCCCAAACCGCTCATGCCTTCCGCTGTATTGTCCACCTTCAGTAACCCCAGCATCTTATTCCATGAGCTTCTCTGATAATTCATATGGTATTGTCTCACTTTGACATTGTGTTTCCGAATCCAATCATCTCCTAAGAGCAATCCTAGGTCTCCATCCTTGACCTTCTGAACAATATATCTCCCGTTGTTCATCAGAAACACATAGCACAAGGCTGGATCTTTGTACACTTTGGACTTCACTTCCAAGTTACTCTCTAGAAGCTCCATGATCCAAGACATCTGCACAGTCAACAGAGTTGAATCTTTAGAGGGGACGCCATTGCTTTCCTCAAACACTTGCTCTAAGGTTTGTCGGGATCTGCAGGCCGCACGGAGGTAATTCATCACGTAACGAGTGATCGGGTGGAGACCACCGCCTGGAACCGCAGCTTTGGCCGGGTCTCGCCTGATCAAATTCTCAAGCTCCATAAATATACCTCTTATCGCCTCTCCCAATCGTTTCCAAATGGTTACTGCTTCGTTTCTAAGAACTGAGCAAAACTGATCCGAGAACACCGACTCGAATTCAGGCATCAAATCCCTCATTGTCTCGAATACATCAAGCACTTTAAACAATCTCTCGGGCGATCGGCTTCCAATAGCAATCGCGTCTGCGAAATTCAGAAGCTGAATGGTAGAACCACGACATACCTCCATGAATGAGAGATCAGCAGCAGAGGAGAAACCGAAGAAGATACGGTCACAGAGTCGGCGTTCGCTCGGAAAGAGGATTCTTAAAGCGACGTTAGCAGCTTTGATCCATCTATCTATCTCATCCTCTAGCTCCTGCCATGGCATCTTATGAACTTCTTCAATACTCAGCTTCTGTAACCCTAACCTCGACATGCTTTCTTCCAGAAACTCTCTCCTACAAGAACTATAAACATGAGAACACGCCTTACCAAATCCAGCTCCAAGCATTCGCTTAGCCATCTCATGTAGATCGTTAATTGTCGCCGACGGGAGAGCATCGATGATAAGGTCATAGTCAGTGAGTGGCTGTGCCACTGGGATCTGGATATCGTCACCGTTGTTGAAGTCTCTGTCATCATCATCTTCTTCCTCAGAGTCGAAACGATGATTCATCGCGCCAGCGTCTCCCTGAGGATTTAAGCCAAACGACTCAGCTCCACGCTCCATAAGCGACCTGAACTCTTCTTCGATGCGGAACATAGCTTGCTGCATCATATCGTCGGCGCGTGCTAGACAGACACCGATAGGTTTCTCTGAAGCCATGGGACTCCACTCTCTGATGATAGCAACAAGCTCATCGATTGTGTCGAGGAAAGCAGCTGAATCAGCAGGATCAGCCCAAATAGGTTGATCCGCGGCAACAAAGCGAGAGATCTGACCGTCTATTGAATTTAAAGCTCGCTCGAGTGTGGCGACTCCGGATCCATCTTCTCCAGCTTGACCTTCGGCGAGCTTTTCGCGAGAAAATCTGCCGTCGAAGTTGGAGAAGATCTGTAAGATATCATCGGCCATGGATTCGTTATGGCCAAGTGTTTTGGCTATGTGACGCGCAACAGCAAGTAACTTCTCTTCACCATTCTCCGCCATGATTGATACAGAGGTGGAATCAGTAGATAGCTTATTCGAAACCTCGAGGTCACTAAATAAAAAGGTCGTACAGCGAGATCGACGGGGAAAGCAAGGAAAGGAATCGAAGACGAAGAAAGTTCCAAGCAAGGAAGAAGACTGGATGGATAGAAATCTTCTACAAAATGACGAAAATACCCTTTAAGACAGACGTGATCTTTGACCTGGCCGCGTTGTTTGAAAATGGCACGGTCGTGTAATTTCCGATGATTTCTGCTGTCTTTTTGTGAACACTTTCGCTTTCGCGTATATTGACGTCTCCGTGACTTTTCTGTCATTGCCTCATTGGTCTCGCTTCTATTTGTTTCTTCTAACCGGACAGGGCGTAAGATTGATGGTCCAATTTCACTGTTGATCAACTCACTAAAACAAAGTGGTTTTATAAGATTGCGGAAAACAATGGGTATGAGGGCAATACATAATCAGTCAGAGATGCTTCTAGAAAAGTGATATACAGCGACTAAAGACAACAAAGAAGAACGTTTACCAAACTCTATCAGATAGATACAACATAGGTAGAAAAAAGGAAACTACAGACACCCATTATTACGCAATGTGATTCTGTGCCAAACATGGAATTGGTATGGTTATGCCAAAATGAACATCATTCACTCTTTTTTTTATCTGTGTTTGTTAGCTGTTCTGCTTCTCTCTATCGTATTGGCTGGTCTCTTCTGCAACCTTTGCCCAGACGTTTCCCATTTTCTCTGCGTATCCAACCTGCATCCAATTCAAGAACACAACTGTTTCTTTAAAGCTCTGGACTCTATTTGATTACTAGCAAATTTCTATACTCATATTCTCTCTTCTCCCGCATTATCTTTCAAAGCACTCATATTTATTTCCCTACAAGAGACCCATGAATGCGATCTTTTTATTCTACTTCTACACTCTTGAAATCTCACTAAGAATGGAATCACACACTTTGCGCTTAAACTAAACAATCTCCTTATCATTATATCTACACAGACAAACTTCTATTGGGCAATAAGGAAAGGCTTCATCCTTCTAAAGTTAATGTGCTGAATAAATATAACGTACCTGGTTGACAACAAAACCCTTCATCATGTTCATGAAGTCTGCACGCCTTTCTCTGTCCAACCTCTCAACCTCAGATCGGTTGTTTTCCTGCAATGATACAAATTTACACAGATCACAATTAAAAAATTCATATCATGTTGGTAAAACAGCACGAGTTGTGATATGCATAGGGTTATTACTGAATACCTTGATCCGCTCATACTCTCTGATGGCAACATTTTTTGCGTCCTCAGTGACCTTGATGGTTTCTTTTAACTCTTCTATTTTTCGGATCCTTGATTTGTCACCGCCAAATACCTTCGATGATGCAGCCTCTAGCTTTTCGACTCTAGTTTGCAGAGAAGGAAGCTCTGATAGAAGCGTCTGAACTGTCAGTAAAGCACTAGATCTATCTGCAAATGCGCCTTGGACAGCCATCATCATGCCAAGGTACTCATGGAGTGTGTCCTGAAACGAACAATTCAAATAAAAGAACAGCTCTTAGTGAAGCTAAAATTCCAGCACAATCACCATATATAAGCTGGCAATCTGTCAAGAGTCCACTAGTTAATAATGAGGATACAAGCTAAGCATGGCGAGATTTCAGAAAGTCCTAATGCCAATCGCTTAAATCAAAATGATCATACATTTTTTTCAGATGAGGAAAAGAAAACAACATTTCATTTGATTCTGTATGTTTTTGTAGTTATTTACCAAGTGTTTGACAGTCTGGGAATTCAACTCCCTATAAAATCTGCTTGCTTTTACAGCCGCAGTGGCTAAATTCTTCATATCATTAGCACGAGTTCTTTGAGAGTTGTAAGCAGCTTCTTCGTTCTCGAACTTAGTCAACTTAATGAATGCTAATCCCAGTTCACCCATGGTTTCCCCCATGTCTTGCTGTGCTTTCACAAGGGATTCCGCCTACAAAAAGAATCCACATAAGGGTTTGTTCGAAGCAGGATACTACATACTGCAGAATGATGCATAATTCAACTAACAAGGATGAAACTTTACCTGCTGTGAGGCATTGATAATTTGTTGCTCAAGATCATGCATCTTCTCCTTCTTTTCCAAGAACTCTTTATCTTCTTCAACAACAGGAGGTTTTGATCCACCCCAGTCATTAGAAACTGACTGCCGCAGCTCCTTGAATAATCTCAGCAGATCCCTACCTCCTCTTGCAGGCTGAACCACCTCATGCACTGGCACTGCAGAGGCTCCGCCTTCACCAAACAACTGTTTTGGAAGCTTCACCGCGCCATCCAACATCCTAGAGGCCACATCAGTACTCATTGGTAGTGGCAACTTCCCTTGCACTTGAAGAAACACTTTCAACTCGTCACTGTTCCTAATAACAGGGTGTGCACTTAGCCTGCGCAAGTATTTCTCCAATGCAATTCTTCTCTGCTCCACGAACTCTTGTTTCTGCATTACTTGGCTCTCTACGACGCTCTTATCTGGCCGTGGTGGTATGCAGAACCCTCTATACGACTCAGCCAATCGATCCGCCAATGTGACAACATCTCTGAATCTTCTTCGCACGCTGAACTCCGATGGGCCGCCGAAGTCAGGGAGATTCGTTCTGGTCGTAATTTGGTAGGTGATGTAAGTATTTCCTCCAACAATGGAATTTGAAGTCTCCTGCTCTTTCTGAGGGTTCGATACAGTGATCTTGATGTAATCGGAGCTAGACGAAGAAGGAGATCTCGATAGTGAATCTGAGAACTGACTATGAAGGCTACTATCATCGGCACCGTTAATCTCGCTATCTGAGTTCTCATCAAAGGGACTGAAGATAACATCTGCATAAGATGGAGGCTCTATGTAGGAGTTATCGCTGCTGATCGGCTTAGAGCTGAAGCTGCTGCGGAAATCTTCGTAGGAGGATGGCGCAAGGAGTGGATCAGAATCAGCCGGAATCATAACGGTCGGTGGCGGCGAGAGTGGGTCACGAACGTTGGAGAGTGTTGACATGGCGCTACGATAACCAGAGTTCGATGTATCACCGTTGACATCGCTTTTCTTCAGAGGATCGTCACCGCCATCAACTCCTAGGTCGAGATTCTCCATATCCTCCCTCGACGCGTTGAGATTAGTCTCTTCGAATCCATCGGCATTCTCTGAGCCCATCATTTCGACTTCTCCGGACGATGAACTAAACTAATTGAAATCAGAATTTACAGAAAATTAGGGTTTGATGATTTGGGAAGAAACGGAGATCCCCTGAAATGTGACGCTGAGCGACGGTGGCTAATCGAATTAAAAGAAGCCGGAGTGACTAAAATGCGCAGGTGGGGCTATGGGAGCAGGAGACTAACGTGCACACCGTGGCGGGTTAGGGGTGGCACGTGATAATGGCTTAAAGTCTCGTCAATTGACAAATCTGCCAATGCGTGACATGTGATGTGAAGAATCTGACTAAATCTTTGAAGTTACGTGAAATCGCCAATGGGCTTACTTAGGCCCATTAAGAAAGAAACCCAATCTTAATTCTCGACGGAGATAGTCATATAGCGGCATCCAAACATTCTGATTAGGTTTCGATTAGCAGCTGCAGAACTCCCTGATCGTGTCGAAATCCTGTGTTTAACTGGAACTGAGTCTTTTTGGATGTGTAAGGTCAACAACTCATAAAGACACTTGAAAAGGTTTCCGACAAAACTCTTCTTATCTTCTCAGATGTCTTCCAAATTCGGGTTAGCGGGTGGGATACCGGAGCGCCGTGTTCGACCCATCTGGGATGCAATCGATTCTCGTCAGTTCAAAAATGCTCTCAAGCTTGTCTCTTCGCTTCTCTCTAAGTACCCTAAATCACCTTATGCTTTAGTAAGTGTAACCCATCATAGGTTTTTTTTTTTGGTTTTGTTTGCCTCTCTTTCTTTAATCTGATCGGAATGATGTTGTTGCATTAACAGGCGCTTAAAGCTCTGATTCATGAGAGAATGGGGAAAACAGATGAGGCACTCTCTGTTTGTTTGGATGCTAAAGAGCTTTTGTACAAAGATGATTTAGCGTTGATGGATGATCTCACTCTTAGTACATTGCAAATTGTATTGCAGAGACTTGATCACTGTAAGTGCACTCGTCAAAGAGCTGGTGTACAAATTCTTGGTTATATCTGAATCGTTTTTTTTTAATTTGATCAGTGGACTTGGCTACTAGTTGTTATGCTCATGCCTGTGGCAAATTCCCTAATAATTTGGAGCTTATGATGGGGCTCTTCAATTGTTATGTTCGTGAATATTCTTTTGTGAAGCAGCAACAGGTTGGTCTTTCTGTTGGATGAACATGATTCTGGGATCTGGTATCAGTCTTTATTTCCCTGGTTCTTATGTCTTGCTTTTTGACAGACAGCCATCAAAATGTACAAACTTGCCGGAGAAGAAAGGTTCTTACTTTGGGCTGTTTGTAGCATCCAATTACAAGTACTGCCATCGTTTCCTCTCCTTTTTTTGTTTGAGCAGTTTAGTATCTCTGTTTCTTACAGTTGTGACGATTTATGGACAGGTGCTATGCGATAAGAGTGGGGAGAAGCTGTTGCTTCTGGCTGAGGGTTTACTTAAGAAGCACATTGCCTCTCATAGTATGCATGAGCCAGAAGGTAAATTCACTTTTCCACCAATGTCTTCTCTTGTACAAGTGTTGTCGAACTATTTCAGATTTCTTCACCCTTTTTTCTACTAATGGAAGTATGGTATTCTCAGCTCTCATGGTGTATATCTCTTTGCTGGAACAAGAATCCAAATACAATGATGCTTTAGAAGTCCTTTCTGGAGATTTGGGATCTCTTTTGATGATTGAAGTTGATAAACTACGGATACAGGTAGGTTATAAGGTTTTTTGGCCGGAAAGAACACTAAACTTCATGCTTTTTTATTATATTCTCCGTACACCTCAGAAATTGTTCATTTTCAACTATTTTTAAGTTGAACCTATATATATTAGTATGCTGAGTCTGTTGCTGTATGCTCACACGAACTCTCTCACTTTAAGCTGACAGGGGAGACTCCTTGCTAGGGCAAATGACTATTCTGCTGCTGTTGATGTCTATAAAAAAATCTTAGAATTGAGGTATGTTTGCAAGGCATGAGCATCTCAGATCTCAGTGTTTTTATAGTTGGGAATGTTTCCAGTATGATTTCTGATTGGTCATTCGATTGTTTCTATACAATCATATCATGCCAGTATGCTAACATTGAATTTCTGTTCACTTGGCAGTCCAGATGATTGGGAGTGTTTCCTACACTATCTCGGCTGTCTGCTTGAAGATGACAGCATCTGGAAATACTTTGACAATATTGATCAAATTCATCCAACAAAGCACATAGAATGCAAGTTTTCTCACCTTACGGAAGAAATGGTGATCATATTACCCTCTTGCATGGCTTAATGTTTCAGTTCGTGTGTTTGTTACTTTTATCTTAATTTCTGGCTTATATATACTCTATTTTCTTTTCCACCATGCAGTTTGATTCTCGTATATCAAGTGCTTCAGATTTGGTGCAGAAATTACTGAGGGACAATGAAAATAGTAACTTAAGGGGTCCATACTTGGCAGAACTTGAAATTGAGAAGAGAAAGTTCCTATTTGGGAAGAAGAACGAAAACAAGTTGCTAGAATCGTTACTGCAATATTTTCTTAAGTATGTCGCTGTATGAAACCCTTTGGAGTTGACTAGTTGTTTATCAGTATGGTTCTTACATTCCTCTAAGCTTGTATCGCTTTGCATGCAGATTTGGTCATTTAGCTTGCTATGCCTCCGACGTTGAAGCATACTTACAAGTATTATCCCCAAAGAAAAAGGCAGAATTTGTGGGAATGTTAGTGAAAAATTCCGACTCCTTTTCTGAGTCAGCAACCAAAGTGCTTGGTCAAACAACAACAATTCTCAAAGTCCAAGAACTGACAGGAAACATTTTTGAGCTCCCTGTCGACGGTGTGTTCTCTTTGCTTACATACTTTTTTTCTGCAATTTCCTTGTTTTCTGCTTATAAAATTAAATTCCAAATTACAAGCCATTTTACTCTTTTGTGATAAGCCTCTTTAATGAGTTCTTCTGAATCTATTTCCAATTCGATTTTTTCTTCCAATGTCTAGAAATTGAAGCCTCTGCTGTCAAACTGGCAAAGTTATACTGCCAAAATCTTTCTCTTTCTAAGGACTTGGACCCTCAAGAGAGCATGTTTGGGGAAGAACTTTTATCTTTGATTAGCAACATGTTGGTCCAGGTACGTTGGGCTGTGTTCAACAGACTCACTTCCCTTGTAATTGTTATATATTAATTAACCTTACTGTTGGTTCCAGTTATTCTGGAGAACTCGAGATTTTGGCTATCTTGCTGAAGCTATAATGGTTCTTGAGCTGGGCTTGACCATCAGAGGGTCAGTACGCCATCTGTTCTTTTTTAAATACAAAGGATTCAACATGGCTTTGATAGGTCTCAACTTGATTATTACTTTTTGTTTCCACAGACATGTCTGGCAGTACAAGATCTTGCTGTTGCACATATATTCGTATGTTGGTGCTCTTCCGCTTGCATTTGAACGGTATTATAGCTCTCAGCTTTACTTATTTTTGCCTGGAAACAGAAAAACCCTCATTCAGCTCGTTTTACTGAACCACCTGTTTATCTTCTGTTAGGTATAAAGCTCTTGATGTGAAGAACATCTTGACGGAAACAGTTTCACACCATATTCTACGTCAAATGTTGGAATCTCCCATGTGGGTGGACTTAAGTAACCTCCTAAAAGACTATCTCAAGTTTATGGATGATCATTTGAGAGAGTCTGCAGACCTTACATTTCTTGCTTACCGCCACAGAAATTACTCAAAAGTAAACAATAGATTTCTCTCCCAGAATTGTCATTACCATATCCCTGTGGGCAACTGGTTACTGTCGTGACTTATCTGGATTACCTAATCTCAGGTTATCGAATTTGTCCTATTCAAACAACGATTGCAGCACTCAAACCAGTACCAAGCTGCAAGAGTTGAAGCGGCTGTCTTGCAATTGAAGCAAAACGCAGACAGCGTCGAGGAAGAAGAGGTAACTCATCCAAGTTCTTATCATGTAAATTACCATAGTCCATTTACTTGATCCTCTTATATATCTAACGTTGCCTGTGATTTTGTTGTCTAGCGCATTCTTGAAAACCTGAAATCTGGAGTTCAACTTGTGGAGCTCTCGAATGAAATTGGATCCAAGACACTGAGGTTCAATGAAGATATGCAAACACGTCCATGGTGGACACCTTGTCCTGAGAAAAACTATCTACTAGGTCAGTATTTCATTCACATTAGTTGTTGTTTATGATTGTACTGTTATTCTTAATGTCAATCAACGTGTGTAGGTCCATTTGAAGAAATTTCTTACGGTTCCAATGAGAATGTGGTACGTTTGTCAATATCCTTACATCTTTTCTTGGGGACGGATGCAATCTAATACCGATTGTATTTGCTGGCTGTGTATAGAAAGAAGATCGTGAAGAAAATATGAAACGAGCCATCCAGAGAAAATCCCTACTACCTCGGATGATTTATCTCTCTATTCAGAGCACGTCAACGGCATTAAAGGAGAGTGTCGAAACCAATGGGTCTGGAAGTGACGTCAAAATCGGTGGAGAACTTAAATGTTTGCTGGAGGAATACACAAAAATGTTGGGATGTTCTCTTAGTGATGCTGTAGAAATGATCACAGAGATCTCACAGGGTGCAAGGACTTCCGAGGTTAGCTTTTCTACTTCTTTCTCCTTCCACCTGCACTCATGTTTAGTTAACTGGTCTTACCGTTAGTAACCTTGTTGGAACATCTCTGTAGAGCCTTGGTTCAAATTTGGTGGACTGGTTGAATTTTGCGGTGTTTTGGAATGCGTGGAGCCTAAGTTCCCATGAGCATTGGCATGTGTTGAACTCCCTGTTTGAGAGGCTTATTCTGGATAGAGTCAGATCAATGGGATCTTCAGACATGAGTTCTTGCTATTCTGATGTCCAGGTTTTGGTCCAGATCGTCACCGAACCGTTGGCGTGGCACAGTCTTATAATTCAGGCCTGTACCCGATCGTCTCTCCCATCTGGGAAAAAGAAGAAGAAAAATCAACATTCAGATCAATTATCTTCCTCCCCGATGTCGCAAGCAATCAAAGATTCTATACAGTCACTATGCAGCACAATACAAGAAGTTTCTAGCTGGCTACTGAATCAACTGAACCATCCAGAAGATGAACAAGTGGAGAGATTTCTGTCAACTCTGAAGAGAGATGAAGATGCAGCA